AAAAAAAAAAAAAAAAAAAAAAAAAAAAAAAAAAAAAAAAAAAAAAAAAAAAAAAAAAAAAAAAAAAAAAAAAAAAACTCATACGTTGGGCGAAATTGAAACAAGGAAAACAAAAGCGCCCACCGTGGGGTTCGAACCCACGACCACAAGGTTAAGAGCCTTGCGCTCTACCAACTGAGCTAGACGGGCTTATTGATAAAGTTTAAGAAACAAAATATATATTTAATAAAAACAAGCTTCATTTATGGTTACAAAATTTGAGTGGGTGATATTTTAGAATTATGGTATTTTATTAATGTTTTAAAGACTTTTATTTATTTAAGGTTACATTTCCGTAATGAAATTATGGTAAGTATGAGTATTGGCTAATTATAGTCATAAAATAAGAAATTGTACGTAGTAGTTTAAGTTGCATGTTTAAAATCATTTCACATAATCAATCTTATGTGGCCTTTTTGACCTTTAATCTTGTATTAATTAATTTTAATTAATTAATTGATGTTTTGACGATAACAAACCTACTCTTAATTATTAACCATTTTCAGTATTTTGAATTGTCCAAATATAAGGTTGGGAATAACTATTTTAACCACTTCTCAATCACTGAAATCAGAGTTAAATCGAAGAAATTACAGTCAAGACAACATACCCGACGTGATGATGTGATAGCTAAATCAAATCGATGTACAAATCAAAGTATGACATTTATAATTTTGGAAGGGTAGCTAGAGTTTTTCTTGTTGTTATATTTTTAAATAAATTTATTTATACATAATATAAATTTAAATTTAACCCTTACTCACATTAGTTTTTATTATTATTATATTATTATATTTATAATAAATTTGGAATCTGTCACAGTACTCACATAAGTTTTTATTATTTTTATTTTATATTATTACATTAAAATAATAATAATAAAAATAAATTTGAATTTTTTTTATTATTTATTTTTAATCTCCACCTTTCATTTCACTTTGAATGCAATCTCAATATTAATTCCGACTTTTTGGCATGTTTCAGGTCTATTTAAATCCATCAACTTCCTCATATTTCAAACACACAACTCTATAATTTTTCAATCCTTTCACACCCTCCATTGTTGGTTACTCTCTAAGCCTCCAATTTTATTTCTCTATCAGGAATTTTTATTGTATTAAGAAGAAATAGTTGTGAGTGCTCCAAATTGTAAATCTACTCTTTTAAAGAGTTATGGTGTGTTTCAAATACTTGTACCAGTTTGATCCTGCGCTGTGAAAATGATTGAGTTTGCTCTTGAACTCATAAAAAGAGCAATGTAGCGGTTGGACTCTGATCAGTGGAAAGAGTCGAGAAAGTTCTTTATTCAAATTCCCAAGAGGCACTTTGGGAGTGGAGTAGGTTGAGTTTGACTGAACCACTTTAAAACTGTAGTGTCATATTTTCTAACTCTTTCCTATTTAATTTTAAAATTATTACGGTGATTTATGGTAGGTTCTAGTTGATTATTGTTTTGACTTGAACTATTTTGTTTTAGTAATTATCATCTTCTACTTATTTGTAAAACGTTTCATAATTAGAAAAATTAATCACGTTTAAATACTTTTATCATCCTTAAAATCCTATTCACGCCTCTATTATTGCCTCAGATATTTAATAATATAAATATTATTTTTCCTTACAGTGATTTCTTATCAGTACCACGGCTTCGCTAATAAATAATTTGTTTATGATCTACCTATAAAACTAAGTTTCTCTCGAGCCAACGAGAGAGTGGGGCCTATTGTTCAATTCGAAATCAACCCTTAAAGGGAAAGAATGAGAATGTCACATGTTTTATTGTACTTATGTATTGTTTAATTTATTTACTTTAAATGGGTACCACATGCAAAACTTAGTTGACTTAAAGTTAAACAAACAAAATAAAATCGCCCACCGTGGGGTTCGAACCCACGACCACAAGGTTAAGAGCCTTGCGCTCTACCAACTGAGCTAGACGGGCATTTTGAAAAATTTCAACAAATTAATATTAAAGTTATGACACAAACTTGTTCCTTCTATTATTAAACCCCAAGTAGGCATTTCATTTCTTCTACCATGATTTGCCTAGTCTTGGTATATTTTCTTCTTTATTCTTTTAAACAAATTATAGTTCAATATTTTCCTCGGGCATAGGTTTAAATATCAAAAGATTACGAACAATAAGAGTTTAGCTCCTTGATTAAAATGATTCGAAGCATTTTGGAGTTTGTAAGAGTGAGAGAGTCCGTTTTGTAGTAGATGATCAATACCACTTCCTTCTATGAGCTATTGCGATGAGATTGTCTATTTAGAACGGTTGGTTACAAAGGTTTAAAGAGAGGTTGAAATGATTTGTTACTAGAAGATGATTGATATAATCATTACAAGCAATTCGATCATTCATAAGATGTTTGTAGTTACAATTGGTTTAAAAGTCTATTTTAATGTATAATTACATTTTACACCTCAGGTATCACTAATTCTCTAATAAACAATTTTTTTAATGATCCAATTATAAAACTAAGTTCATCTTGAGTTAAGCATTGTTCGAATCTCAAAATCATCACTTACCATATATGCGAAAGACTGAATCCTATCTCATGAAATTATGTTTCCAGCTCTATATTTAGGCTAAGTCATCAAAATGGTAGGCATATTGATTGATACAAAGGTCATTCTCACCCACGTAAATCAAATAACAATTCCCCACAAGTAAGAATTCATAACTTAGTAAACACTATATAATCATCTTGCAAAATATTTATCTTAATTAATAAATTTATAAAGAGAGATTAAAAAATTTGTAATACTCATGGTATAAGATATCCTCAATCCACGTGCTTTCAGGTGAATAATTTGTTGTGATACTTAAGAATAATTGGAAATGATATTTTGAAATATTATGAAATCTTTTTGCATATGAAACTTAGGATAGTTTTCTATTTGTGTGCATGAAAATTATATTGGTACGTAAAACTCCATATATGTGTTCATAGGAATTATAGTAATTAAATATCGGTGTACATGAGAAATATATTAGATTATATAATATGGCTTTGTTGGCAAATTATATGTCTGTGTGCATGAGAACTGTATCACCTCTTCGTAATATGACTGTGATAATTATTTATTCGTGTGCATGCAATTGCATTACTGTTCTGTGATTTTGACTTGTGGCAACTAGTATGTATGAGTATGAGAATTGACCAGTTTTAAACGATTTTTTGGGTTTATGCATATCTAACTTCAAGAGAGGGTTTGATATGAACCAAAACAGCTTAATCATACAGTATGAACTTGAAGATAGTTGTGAAGAATGTTGTTCAAATTACCATGAGATAACGTGAAGTTCTATTTAAGTTGAACTCAGGTTGCAATCAATTTCACGTTAAGAAGAACCAATTAAGGGATTTAGAACATGTAAAAAGAGTATTTGTGCTTTCCTTTAGGTAATGACTACGTTTCTTTGCAATTCGATGTAGTTTAGATTGCATGCTTAGAATCATTCAAACTTGACATGATCATATTGCTTGAGGAGTGATTCGAATCTCAAACAATTATTTATTTTTTGAGATATTTAATTAACAAGCTAATTCGAATCTTACTTTCTCTCAGAATGATTGTTTATCATTAGGGCAAAGTGTTCCTATCTTTTCTTTAAGCCAAATGCTAAGTTTCTTTGCCGTTCTATTTAGTTTAGGTTGCATGTTTAGAATAATTCAAACTTGATATGATCGATCTTGCTTAGGGAGTGACTCGAATCTCAAACGCCTCGAGATATCCAATAAAAAAAGCTAATCCAAATCTTCTTCGAGATATTCAATAAAAAAGGTAATCCGAATCTTACTCTCCTCATAGTGATTCCTCATTAGAGTTACTTAATGAGTATTGAATCGAGTATTTTCAATACTCGTATCCAAAATATTTTTCAAGAAAGAGCAAATACGTGCAAGGGTCACGACAAAGAGGGATTGTTAGTTGACATGGAAGACTGTCAGTCACATATTTTTCCAAAATATTTTTTTAAGAAAGAGCAAATACGTGCTCGACCATTAGTCGATACGAAAGAATGTCACATGTTTTTATTTGTGCATTATTTAATTTATTTACTCTCAACTCTCTCATATCATTTCTTTTATTTAGTTTGCAAACTTAAAGACACTATTTATAGAGCTTTTTTGTTTTTATTAAACTTGTATAAATAAAAACGATTTGAAAATAAACAAAATGAGATCGCCCACCGTGGGGTTCGAACCCACGACCACAAGGTTAAGAGCCTTGCGCTCTACCAACTGAGCTAGACGGGCTTATTGCTAAAATTTAAGAAACAAAATATAATTCATTAAATGGATTTATCATTTTTTTTATTCTAAATTTAATATCATGAAAATAATGAATTATAATTTGTTTAAAAAATTAAAAGTAAAAAGGAACAAGTTGTCATTGTTATCGAAAAATGGTGCAACTTATGCTAAAAAGAAATGTAAATACTTACGGCCCGTGTACGTAAATCTAAACCTTATAACTTCTTCGACCTATGTACGTAAATCTAAACCTTATAAATTCTTCGAAGGGAGCCATCTATTACAGTCATATTACATTCAACAATAGCATTTACAAAAGAACGAAAAAAAAAAAACTACCCAAATCGCCCCTTATAGATGCAAGTTTATAAGGGTGATTCGAGGGTAAAGACGAGAAATCAACCATAACCCATATCGAGACGGTTCTCATTTCCAGCTTCATCAAGCAAGAAAAGAAATACGCTTTTTTAAGTTATAAAACTTTAGTATTCAACGATGCATAAGTCGTAGATTTATCGAACTACTACTATTGCTTGCTTGTTCACCACCAAAACTCAGGAGTTCCGCTTGTGGGAACGAGCTGTTCGACCTCACATCGAGCAAGAGATCCTGGTCAAAACTATCCTCATCAAAATGTAGAGATTCCAATGTGAAGGAACTTCCATCAGATGGCAAAGCAAATAAACTTCTTGGACTAAAGCAAAAACTGTCGTCAACGAGTTCCTTGCTTTCTACGCTAGTCTTCGTCGTCACCCTTCTCGGACTCGTCATTGTAATCCTTGTTTCTGAAGATAAAGATGTAGCTTAGTTACGCTAACGATTCTCGAGAGATGTAGAAAAGATGCAAGACTCTATTCCGCTATCAGAAGCACACACGTGCGTATACTAAATGCAAGATATTCACCAACCTGAAAACTTTTTGTTTTGACCATCAAGCAATCTCTTGTCATCCACAAAGCTAGTAGAACATTTCTGCAGCCCATAAAAAAGTTGTCAATCACAAGCTCACCATGATTCCCCATAAGATAAGATCGTACCTTAAGTCGATCGTATTGTTCCACCCATTTTGATTTAGACAAATCCCACAACACAAGTCGACTCAACGTCTTGCAGTCTTCTCGTTTAGCACCCGGAAAGGAGAAATCGAAGACTCCTTCAGTGAGCAGCTGCTTAAATGAATTCAAATTCTCCTTGAATTGGGGGCTTTCAAACATGCTATTCAAGCTGCATTATGAATATATCGGGTATAACCACAATATGAGTGCTCACATGGATATAGTATTTTTCCTGATCAACAAGGAGGAAGATCCTAAAAGTATGTATAAAGATTAACCTGTCTGGAAGCTCTTCAGTATCAACAGAAGGCAAATACTTCATTAATTCTCGTTGATCTTCACACGTCAATTGCTTCGTAAACTCTCTGAAGTTTAGAATGACCTATATCAGACATGGAGCGGAATTATGACAATGGAGATGCTCCATATTTCAACAAATACATGTACCAAAAAATATATATATATCTGCGTGTACGTGTGCGTGTGCGTGTCATGTGCGTGTGCGTGTGCAGTGTGAGTGTGAGTGTGAGTGTGCAGTGTGTGTGTGCGTGTGCGTGTGCGTGTGCGTGTGCGTGTGCGTGTGCGTGTGCGTGTGCGTGTGCAGAGTGCGTGTGCAGTGTGAGTGTGAGTGTGAGTGTGAGTGTGAGTGTGAGTGTGAGTGTGAGTGTGCGTGTGCGTGTGCGTGTGCGTGTGCGTGTGCGTGTGAGTGTGAGTGTGAGTGTGAGTGTGCGTGTGCGTGTGCGTGTGCGTGTGCGTGTGCGTGCGCGTGCGTGTGAGCGTGAGCGTGCGGGTGAGGGTGAGGGTGAGGGTGAGGGTGCGCGTGAGAAAGGGAGTTTTAATTGAGAAAGTTGAAAGAATGTACAAGGGCATACAAAAAACAAGTTGAACAAAAGGGAGTCCCACAAGCAACCTACAAAAAGGGGCTCCAATCCAACAAAACCAAACCGATATCATAACTACAAAATGGCCGAGTCACCGACGCCCACAAGGAGGGCATCGAACATGACCACCTTCCGAAACTACATCACATAGCCTCTCCGCCCCTCTAAAAATATGCATGTACCAAATATTAAGGTTCGTTATCCATGCATATATTTCATAATAAACAAGGGATTCTTCAATGATCATTTCGACCATAATTCAGAATAACTTTCCAATTTCACATTAAAAAGATATATATTCGGCCACTTGTCTTTCGATCAAACGTCGAGATAAAACCATAAGAAAGCAACTTACAGTTAGATCGATATTACAGAGAGGCGAGTTATGATTCCCAAGCGCTTGCACTTTCTCCGATTGAGGCCTGTCCCTGATATTACAAACACGAAAAATATTAGTTCTTGTGCTCATAGCTACATACTTGAAAATATTTGAATTCAGTTTGGTCCTAAGCTTACTTTTTGATTTGCTCCTGCAAGAACGCCTGTCCGTTAGAGTGCTTTCTCCCGATTCCAAGAGTAGAAGGAACGATGGACGACTCTGAATAAGCCTCGTTTACAGAGAAATGTTTATGATCAATTGAGATTGAGCTTGCTTCCGACTCCTCTTCTCGAGCAATGGAACTTGGATGCCTCATGAGAATGCTCCCATGACCTATCTCTACAGAGACCATTGGAGTTTCACTCTCGAAAAGCAAATCCTCCTCAGAAGATCCAGAGAAATACGACTTCTGTTCACGTAAAATGGTGTATAGATCTTTAGTGAGTTTCTCGACTGCAGTAGACTTCGGACGATCAACACAGGTCCTCTTTCTCGAAGGCACCATTGACTCCCAAGCTGTCGACTGTGAGGGACCTGGCGAAAAGATAGAAATAAACTACAGCTGAGATATCCCATACATACGACAATGCTAGGTTAGTTCGTCGACGAAGTAGTTGTATTCGTAAGAAAGGCAAGCATAAGATCCAAAAAGCTGACATACAAACACTGCTCACATATACGTCCAATTGGGGCGAGAATTTGAACTTCCAACTTCAAAAAACGAACTCGATACCTAAATCATTAAGCTATGCTCATGATCGTAAGATTACTAGACTTATTCACGATCATCGAATACACAAGTACGCCATTTGATCTTTCGTGCAGTTCTATTCTAACTTCAGCAAACCCACAAACTAGTTGTGCATGAACAAATTTTAATTTTCATATATCAATTGTATAGCGGACCAACCTGTCAGATCACTTCCATCGGCGCCACCGAATTGTGCACAGCTCTCGGAATTCGATATGGCTGATCCAGAACTTGATCGATTACTTGTATCTTCATCCACTGCCTTGTGGAAGCTCTGAGCATGATCAGGGATAACCCCAACCACAACTCCATGATCTTGATAGTGCTTTCTTTTAAGCAGTTTCACTTCTTTGTTCTTATACACGGACGAGTTCTTCAACCTAGAGAGCCTTTTATCATCGTACTCATCAGGATCTGCTCGAGCATGAAGAGGGGTATAGTTTGCAAGACTTCCCTTCGTCCTCCATCGAGATCCACATGCGTTGCACAATACTGGCTTATCGGGAGGCCCATTGCGCCAGAGTGGTGTGCCTGTTTCAATTTTGTTCTTTTAGGATCTATTATTAAAGAAATAACTAATGCAACAAAGGCAACATCGATACAAACTAAACTCGAGGAGACAGTTACAGATACCCAATCACTAATAAGTTCTATGTCAGCTAGAACGGCCGACGTGCAGCTCTCAAACAATGGAAATGGCTTGTGGCCATTACAATGACATAATTCAAACCCCTCTCAAATAAATCACAGCTCAATTGAGTTACTGAAACTAAACTTGGAAGGCTTGGTTATAGAAATGAAGGACGAAGAACCCGAAAGCTAATAACTCTAATGAAGATGACGCAACGCTTGACTGAAACTCTAATTGGAATAGACAGAATCAGAACTTGTCATTCATGTCCGAGTCAATGACCTCGTGTACATATTTCGATAGTCAATAACAACATGATCAAAGAAGCATCTCACACCAATCAGTCCTTATTGTCTTCTTCATGCCATTTCACTCTCTAACCTCGAAAAGTCAAGCAGGCCTGATAAAAACCAGCAACTATAAAATCGAAACAAGCTCTTGCAGCAACTTGATTAAGTAAGATATCAATCAATGTGTTCAAACATTCACAAGAACAGCCATAGATATCAATCAATGCTGCAATCCAGGAGGGTGGGTGTGCATATTTAACAACTTGATAGCCAACCAGTGATACAAAGGCATAGAAGTCCATTCATGTTTTCAAGTTAATACTTAAAATTGAAGTTTATTTGATCATGAATCAAGAGGGATAGCTTAAAAGTAATTCAGAACCCAACATACCAGCATTACAAGGAGATACAATGTGGGATTCATTAAAACATAGTTTTCTTTGATGTAACTCAGAAATTAATTCAAACATAACATAACGCTAAACTTCATCTTTAGGTTCATTGGGGATTGAAATTGACTCAATATGATCTTCGAATTACTAAGAACTTGCAGCTATGACAGAGTTTAGAAGGAGCAAATGAGTATCAAGGGAAGGGAAGGGCAGGAGAAAAGACATCCATTATAAACTCTTTGGAGAGGGGAAAATCATCAAATCTCACTGGGTTTCTAAGATTGGAGCTGTTTTAGATATCAAAATCAGAAACAATTCTAATGAATTTCATAACTGATTCAAGGAGTTTCTTATGTTCTTATTCATGATTAAGATCATTTCATAACCAAATTACATATAAACATCACGTAAAAACAATTTTCAAAACCGTCTAATGGACAAACAATATAATTAGAATCAAGTTTCAAACCCTTGTTTACAAAGAGAGCAGGGCAAAAAGGAAAACCAAAACTGGAGAAACAAGAACTCACTTGTAACTCCACAGTGATAGCAAGGCCCTTGCTTGCCCATCCCCTTCTCTTCCTTTTACAAATTTCTCCACAAGATAAAGCAAATTACAGAAGAAAAATTGGGTAAAAAACAAAAATATTCACAAAAATTACACAAAAATGATTGGTTTGTTCTTCAAGCTTTAATATGAACGCAAGGCTACAGGGCACAAAACCCTTTTCTGCAAAGAACCCAGAAAGGGGAATTTGCAGAAACAAGCAATAGCTCAAAGACCCAGAAGAGTTTTGCCTAAAAAAGTATGAAAAACCCCAACAAAGATGAATGAAAACAGGAGAAGAAGAAGAAGAAGAGCAAAATCAAAGCAGAAAAAGCCCAAAATCAATCAAAAGTGAAGAGATTAAAAGGGTTATTAATTGGGAATCTGTACAATCCAGTGGAAGAGAAAGGAGCAGTGCAAGAATCTCACAAATGGGTGTAGAAAAAAGAGAGAAAAAAAACAAAAACAAAAAAAAAAGAAAGGCAAAGGAAGGTGAAATGGTGGGAGAGGTGTGGGTGTCTGTGTGTGTGACTCTTCCTTGTTGTATTGTATATCAAGTAAATGTTCAACTTTCCTTTCCTTTATTTAATTTTGGTGGGTTATTGATTTTTTTTTTTTTTTTTTTTTTATTTTT